TTATACTGGTTTACATGGAAAAATCCCTATTAAGTTGCATAATACTGGTTTACATGGAAAAATCTCCATTAAGTTGCATTATACTGGTTTACATGAAAAAAACCCTATTAAGTTGCATTATACTGGTTTACATGGAAAAATCCCTATTAAGTTGCATTGTACTGGTTTACATGGAAAAATCCCTATTAAGTTGCATTATACTGGTTTACATGAAAAAAACCCTATTAAGTTGCATTATACTGGTTTACATGTAAAAACCCCTATTAAGTTGCATTATACTGGTTTACATGGAAAAATCCCTATTAAGTTGCATTATACTGGTTTACATGGAAAAATCCCTATTAAGTTGCATTATACTGGTTTACATGGAAAAATCCCTATTAAGTTGCATTATACTGGTTTACATGGAAAAATCCCTATTAAGTTGCATTATACTGGTTTACATGGAAAAATCCCTATTAAGTTGCATTATACTGGTTTACATGGAAAAATCCCTATTAGGTTGCATTATACTGGTTTACATGTACAAATCCCTATTAAGTTGCTTTATACTGGTTTACATGTAAAAACCCCTATTAGGTTACATTATAGTGGTTTACATGTAAAAATCCTTATTAAGTTGCATTATACTGGTTTACATGTAAAAACCCCTATTAAGTTCCATTATACTGGTTTACATGTAAAAACCCCTATTAAGTTCCATTATACTGGTTTACATGTAAAAACCCTATTAAGTTGCATTATACTGGTTTACATGAAAAAAACCCTATTAAGTTGCATTATACTGGTTTACATGGAAAAATCCCTATTAAAGAAGCTATACCCGATTTTTTTTCTAAGTAGTTCATAAAAATGCTTTTTACTACATACAAGTTGTATCATAATACATCATTTAATTGAAAACTTGAGGTAATTGATTCAGCTGTGTAAGAATTACCGGCAGTGAAAAGTGCTGAGTAGAGTCTGAGCGGGCCGCTCTTTCTCCTCCGCTCACAGAACGAGCAGCGAACAGCCTGCGTCCTCTAGCCTCTACAGCGCTGCTTAACACCAGGGCTTCGACTTCAAAATTCGAATATAAATTCTAAAATAAAAAATGATTGGATGGATGTATTATATTAACTGGATAGGGTATTACTAGCTTGTAGCTGAATAACTCACGTGCTCAGGGGATTCTCGCGGTACTGCAGACTGAACCAGACTAAATTCACGTGGGCTACCCAGAAATTTTCCCCATAGAACTCAATGCATATTAAAACAGCTCGACCTCAGCTGACAGAGAACCTTCAGCTTTAATAAAGATTGGATTTTGTGGGGATTTTTAGTGTCCCTTGTCATCCTGAACTTTTTTTCTTCTTAAATCCTTCGGTTTTGTTTAAATCCACACTTTAGTGCCACAAACTCTGCTTCTCTGGCTCTCGCTCTAACTCCCGCTCTGATGAACTGCTCTGATTGGTCAGAGCGCGGCCGAGCCCCTCTGTGCACGTGCGTGAGACCCGGTGTGAGACCCACACACGCGTGTTTGGCGCAACGCATTATGGGAGATCATCCACTGCGCAGAACCGGGAGGACCAGACGATGCCCAAATACAGGCGAGTTTCCCATAGTTCTTTGCGAGTTTCAGGCAACTTCCGCTAATCTTTCAGCCCCCGTGCTGTCACAAAGCGCCACTGAGCACAACCATTCATTTGAATAGGGCGCCATCTTGGATCGCCGGGGCTTGCGCTCATTGCACAACTTAATCTACATGACGTAATAATGACGCGTCTACTTGGCTACCATCAGGACTACACCAACCCTGCCACAATTTTAAGCCTTTAGTCCAAAAGATTTTTGCGCTGTTAAAACTACTGAGCGATTACTTTGGTAATGATAGGCATTGCCAAGTCGTAAAACAGACGGCTTGACCTGTCCAGACTCAAAGTGACAGCTCTGCCCCGCCTGAAATATCTCCTCTGACAGGCCAGCGCAAAGTCTGACGTCAATACTGTTCAATGTTCTGTAGTAGTGGCGCTTAAGTCAATAATGTGCAATCAAAACGAAAGCACACGCAGTTAAACTTCCTGCTTGGTTTAAAGAGCCCTTTAAATAGACATGTTGTATAGTAAGAACTGTTTTTGGAGGTCAGATCCTGTTTTCTTTCTGACTGGCGGAAGAGCGCTCGTAGCCGCGTTACCCTAATTCACTAGAGTGTGACACTTGACCTCGCCCTCCCATCAGCGTTTGGACAAAACCCTTACCAAGAGCCGTGAATATCATGTCAAATGTTGTGTTTTGTAGCAGCAAGAGAAGTTCCACGCCTGCGAGTTATACGCTGTACATACCAGAGACAGTTGTCTGGAGTGCTAATAATACCGCACTCCAGCGAGACAGCCAGCCCTTGTATTGGTTTCCCTCGGCAAATATAGACCACTGCTGGCAACTTCAATCCTCTTGCGTCGATAGCACATGACAGGAAATGGGAAAAGAGTCAATGCTGTAGAAAATAATATAAGACTGTGTAGGTGATAAAAAATGTCAGCTCCTCTCAAGAGCGTGTCCATGCGCCCACATTAGCCCCACATTAGCCCCTGCAGCACAGAGACGCACTACTCACGGTCACTGCTCACTCCGTTTCGCTCTAAACCCGGCTGTGGCTGGTCCCGAGACTGCAGAGAGAACTGAAAAACCCGAAGTGGATCAGCTGGACTGGGGCTCCCATTATGGCTATGGTCTGTAGTAAATACAATATGAGGCTGTAATAAGTGATTACTATGAATGCAGATTAGTGTTTTTATTTCCGAATATTTAATTTTACTTTGAAATGTTGTAACCGTATTTATCAAACACTGAATTAATTAAAAAATTAAGTTAGGTTTGAAATAACAATTAGAAGGCAGGCGTATATCATGCAAACTAAATAATTCATTGTACTTTGAAATAATAATGAGAAGGAGTATTATTAATTGTGAATCACGTGTGTAATTTTCATCTGACTAACTTGTTTTACAGATCCGTTTGAAACAATAATAAAAAGTGTGTACTGTCACCATGGAAGACTGTCACTCTGTGGATCGAATATGTTGTACTTGCTACTGTCTATTTTTCTCTAGACATTGGAAATCCCATTATTGTTAGAATCTTCGAAATTAAAAGAACAGTTGTGTACTTATTACTATGATACAACCACTTTCCATTCTGGCCATTTGCAGAGGGTATTGCGTCATTGTCGTGCGACGGTAACACAGCTTGTAGCTGTCATGGACGAAGGGCATGAGTGTGCTGGTTATGCATCATGATAGTGGCTCGGATTTCTTTATGACTCGTATTATACCACAGCGTTTAGTAGCATTAGCTCAAATCCTGCAGGACACGTCGCCAGGTGCATTTACTCTGCGTGACTGCTGCAGTGTCACGCGAAAAGACTACTATTCAAGGAAGTAACCGAAGAGGTATCTTGCATACATACGACTGATACATTTGGTAATGTAAGTATGCTCTTATGGCGTGTCATGGGATGCTAAAACAGGGAAATATAACAAATAAAAAGACAAAAATAATAACAACTAAAACTAATAAAACAGACAATACAAAAATTTAAGGAAACTAAAGGTTAATGATAAAACATAGATTAAAAAATAGATAAATATAACCACATTTTTAGTTGTCAAACAGTTTGAGATAATCCATCACGTGTTTGAGTTTCACTGCTTTTTCTCCTTAAAATTAACTTAGACAAAAAGAGAGAGTTCCTTGTGGATTGTGAGGAAGAGTGGATTGTGAGGAAGAAAGGCTTGTTCGACAGTCTGTCTTCTCTGTCCAGGGGTCAAAGCTATGGAACTCGGACTGGGCTGGTTTTAAATACAAACTGAATTGAGTTTTTAAAAACAAGCCAGTTTTGTGAGCATCAATGCATTGGGGGACACCTTCTGTCTTTGTGAGATAACAAAAAGAAATGTGCCTTCAATTGTGTTAAAACCCCTTTCTATGGATGGACATCACTAGCCTTGGCTATAAATGTTTAGTGTTTCACATGTTGTTTGTGTACACTAGTCCTTATAATTCAATTAATAAATTAAAAGATAAAAGGGAATACATTGTGTTTAAAGAAGCATTCGTGAATCTAAAACCTTCCTAAAATAAAAATAACCTTTACAATCAATTTCTTCCTTTTGAAAATGTTCCAAAAACAATGTCCTGGGTAGTAAAGTCTGTCTGTCAGCCAATAGTCAATAGGAAAAATATGTGATTAGTAGATTCAATGTTTTATCACAGAAGGAACGATTGTTAACATCCATTCTAGACCGTCTCAGTAATTCTTTGTATGGATAGATGCGCAAAAGGCTTTTAAAGTGTTTTTCCTTGATTTTTGGGAGGATGGGAGATATATAATTCGAATGTTCATTTTATTATTATTTGGAAAGTATAAGATTCAAGTTTATTTGGACTTTGCTATAAAACCACTTTGGAAGTACAAAAGAATATCACAATGGAATTTGAGATGAAAGGAATCAGAATCAATTTTATTGCCATGTACTGTAAGTAACAGGAAGTCACAGACTAGGAAATTGCTTTGGCTCTCGGTACAAATAAGTCTAAAGTAGAGGAGAGTAGAGAATAGAGTAAGGCTGAAAGTAAGGCTGTAAAAAGACCTTATTTTTTGTGATATTGTATCAGTCTAATAAATGCTCAAGAATCGTGGGATAACTTCAGCTGAGATTATAAAAAGAAAGGACAACATTTGGGGACCAGCCTTAATAATTCTTGTATTCTTTATTTTCCCTTAGCACCTGCAAACTGTTTGATGCAGCAGATCTTTGTTTAAGACTCATACCAGAAAATATATGCTACTGAAACCAGTGGACAGTGCATGAAGTCCACCCTTTAACCATGTTTTGACAATCAGTTTCAGTATTATTGTTACTTTATGATCCTTTTCTTTAGGTAACTACTATTCTGTCTTGTGCGATTATATACTCTTCACATTTATTTCTTCAGCCATGGACAAGCTTTGATCTCCCAGGATGTCATCGGAGGCTTCGGCCTCCTCAACCTCTGCTATAGAACGTCCTTCTCCTCAACAAGACTTCCACTTTATCCGCTCCTTTGTGGCCGGAGGTACTGCAATATACACTTTGTAAATACTATACTCTTAATCAGAGTTAAGGGATTGTTGTTTTGTAAAATAAAATAAAATTTCTTCTTTTAGGCGTGGCGGGATGTTGTGCCAAAACAACAATTGCCCCTTTAGACAGAGTAAAGATTTTGCTCCAAGGCCAGAATCATCACTACAAACACTTAGGTAAACCATCATGAACTTCACTGTCAAAAAACTAAACCGAAACAAACATCTCCATTTTATATGTTGTCTTTTAGGTGTGTTTGCCACTCTGAAGGCTGTGCCAAAGAAAGAGGGCTTCTGTGGCTTATACAAAGGCAATGGGGCCATGATGGTTAGAATATTTCCCTATGGAGCTATTCAGTTCATGGCCCTTGACGCTTATAAAAAGGTATATTAGAAACTTAGCAAATCGAATATTAATTGAGTTCCAGTTATATAATGATAACTTTTCTTCATACAGATGCTCAGTATTAAGTTTGGTATCTCTGGGAATATCCACTGGCTCATGGCAGGGTCTATGGCAGGTAAATGATCTCTCTGGTTACACATTTATGCCAATATGGTCATTTACACATGGATATTGGTCAGGTGTCAAAAGAGGGCAGATGTGAACTTTTGCACACTTTGTCATGTTTACAACCATAAAATTAAAGATTCTATTTAAATTGTTTTACTGAAAGTTCACACACAAGTAACAGACAACTTTTAAGTGAAAGCAAAATGATACATGATTCTACTCTTTTTCCAAAAATAGGAAAACTGAAAAGTTGGGCATGCATAAGTTAATACTTTGTAGAACCCCTTTTTCCTGCAATAACAGCAGCAAGTCTTTTGGGGGATGACTCTAGAGACAGAAAGTTTAGCCCATACCTCCACCAGCTTGAGCTCTGTCAAATCTGTCAAGAATGTTTGTGAGTTTTCGGGATTTCAGGTCCACAGTTTTCACAGATTTTTTTATTGGCTTTAGGCAAGGCAAGGCAAGGCAAGTTTATTTGTATAGCACAATTCATACACAAGGCAACTCAAAGTGCTGAACAAGATAGCATTAAAATCATAAATAATCACAGAACATTAAAAAGAAAGATAAAAATATAAAATCCCTCAGTTGTATGCACAGCTAAACAGCACCGTTTTTAACTTGGTTTTAAACATTGTCAGAGAGGAGGCCTGTCTCACTCTTTAGGTCTGGACTTTGACTTTGACAGCCCTAAAGCCATAAACCATGAATATGTATTGTTTTAAACCATTCTATTGTAGATTTAGCTTTGTATTTAGAGTCCTGCTGGAAGGTGAGTGTTTGCCCCAGCCTCAGTTCTCCTCTTAAATGCCCCTGTATTTGGATCCATCCATCTTCCCAGCCATTCTTAAAATCTTCCCTGTCCCTGCTGAAGAAAAGTAGCCCCATAGCATGATGTTTCACATGGTAGCTGTGTCCCCCCTATTACTTGTGACAAACTTCAAATCTATTTCTTGTGGCCTCTGTTCAATAATGCGTAGTATGACTGACGTCCCATGTACAGATTCCCCCTGCTCAGCGGCAGTACTTTGCAGCTCTTCCAGAGTCATCTTTGGGCTCTTGGTTACATTTCTGAGCAGGGCTCTCCTTATTCGATCTGTTAGTTCAGGTGGACCGGCATGTCAGAGTGAGTTTACGGTGTTGCCATACTCTTTCCATTTCCGAATAAAGGATTGAACAGTGCTCCGTGAGATGTTCAAATGTTGGGAAATCTTGGTATAACTTAAAGATCAACTAAACACCTGTGCAAAGCTTTTCTCCGCCCACATGAACATTTGAAAATGTTCTCTAAAAAGGGCGTTGCATGGAACAAGAAGGGGGGCTTAGAGTGGGCATGGTCTGGGCTGTGATTGACAGTTGTCATTTCTGCTTAAAGCAATAGTTTACACACCAGATGGTCTTATTTCACCCGTGTTTACACACTAAGATAATTGTAGAGCTACACACCTGAACCTAAGCCACATAATAATCTCAGCAGTAGTGGCTGAGCTACTGGGGGCGTGTGTGAGACTTGGATGATTTTATATCACTGGCGTAGAGAGACGCACGTCACTCATACCAACTGACGTCACACATCACTCCAGAGCCAATGGAGAGGCCAGGCACCAAATTCAAATGTAGTGTCACCAAAAAGGTAGAGAGGGCGCCACACAGATATGTAGAGAGCACTATAAGACACATACAGTATTTATGCAGTTGATGAGTTTAAAAAAAGTTGATTTGGGTTTTAGTTGTCCTTTAATGCTGCTGAGCTTCTCTACAACCTCATCCCTGACGCCTCTATGAGGCTGTTTGGTGACCAATACACCAAAGCTCTGAGGCCCTCATAGAACAGTTGTATTTTTACTGAGAGTAGATTGCACACAAATGGCCTCTATTTAATCATTAGGGTAAGGTGTGAACATTCAGTGGTCATTAGGAAGGTTTTAAAGGCAATTTAATGCACTCAGAACAAAACTGTATGAATACTTGCTCTTCTAGCCTGTTCTCTCCTGGCCTGTTTTCTCCTCTAGACTACATAGAATCCATAGTATTTGCAGGGACAGCAGCAGCTGCGTACTTTTGTCTTACACCATTAAATTGGGTTTGCATTAACTGCATGAATGAACAAATGAGTTAAACGGATAGCACACAAAAAAAATCAAAATAATGACTTTATGTATAGTAAGATACAGTCCGAGACGGTCCCGCACCCGCAGGTCTCTCCAGCAAGGATACCATGTAAGCTATGTATATTCACCCGGGCTCGATTTCTTCTTTGATCTTTTTTTTGCTTTAAGCCGCATTCAGACCGCAAACGCTAAAGCCCCGCTCACCAGATGCGCATTCTCTAGTTTTCAGACGCACGGGTCGCACACCAGAACGTCCTGACCAGCGCCGGAAGGGCCGGAAGTAGCCGGCCAGCTCTGATGCTAACAGAGTTATGCTAGCGGCTTCTCGTGTAAAGATCTTCTCCAATGATGCAGCTTGGCAGGTTGTCTGTGTTCAGAGACCTTCCACGGACTTTATGTAACAGTAGTATGTGTTCACTGAGGTGCGCAATAAGTTTATTTTATTATTAAACGGTACTTCCGCATCGGCGAACACACGCGAAGCAGTTGCATAAAGTCACGGCATGACAACGCATATATTCACAAGGACACAGTCCCCCATTGTCAACCCTGGTTTAGTCCTGGTTTAGTCCTGATGTAGCTCCTGTTTTGGCTGTTAACAGTATGTTCAGTCTGCTCGCTCAGACCACCAATGTCCCCGTGACCACTTTGCAGCTCTCTGATTGGTCGCTGCACGAACGTCCCGAGGAAAGGTTGAGCAAAGTTTATATCCTGTGGGCGTCGATTTTCCGCTCCTGCTCCTCCCCTTTGACTTTCCCGCACAGTCTGTGCGTCTCTACTGCGCGGTCCGTGCGTGCCGAGAGGTCCATGCGTTTTGACGCTCGAACGCGCGTCACCATTGACTTTGCATTGAAAGCATGATCCGGTCTGAACGCAGCTTTAGTTCCCTCTTGTCCTCCTCACTTTTGCGTTGTTTTGGCTGTGTTGCTGTAGAGGAGGTATAGCCTCTTTCTCCTAACATGCTGCTGTGTTTACCTGTGCGGCAGACGCTAGAGGAGGCAGCCTGTTTGTAACATTGCTGCCCCTCGTTCTGTGAGTGGAGGTGAACTAGCGTCATGCAAAATTTCTACTCTGCACTTTTTACGGCTTGAATTCATACACAAGCTGAATCAATGAGCTCAAGTTTTCAATTAAATTACAGATTGTAATACAACTCGTATGTAGTAATACGCATTTTTATGAACTCATTAGAAAATAAATCTAGTTTAGTTCCTTTAATATAAAATTTAGTATTGTTAGTGCAATATTTATGAACAATTAGTAACATTTTTTTTTTTTGAGACCTGTGGTCTGAACAGTTGAATGGAATAAAATAAAATAAAAATGACATACACAAGTAGTTATCCCATTCGGATGGCTAAACATTTTAAAAGTCCATACAAACAGCTTTTGAAGGTGGCGAAAAAAAATGCATTTGATATAAACATATGAACATCGGTAAATATTGTATAGGCCATAACAGCAATATTAATAGTTATCGTATCGACCACAATTTTTGGTACATCACTAGTTGTATACAATTTGTCTGAATGTTTAAGACATCCTTAAAACACTGTCCTCTATTTCCTCAAAGAGGAATGTGCTGTCTTTGAGTTGATAGAGGACAGTGTTGGGACTGAGGCAGGACTGAGGCAGGATTAAACAGTTTACCCCATGTTTAACCAGAATCAGCAATAGTGACACTAAAATAAGAGTAAACAATAACCCCTTCGATTATTAGACTGAAATAAATATAAAGGAAAATAAATGACTGGGATTAAGTACAATTCCCCATTTCCCATTTTTTTTATATATATATATATATAAAACATTTGGAGAAAGTAACTTAAAAGTAATTCAGTAGTAGTGTAATGCATTACAATTCAGAAACAGTAATGTTGTAGTGTAAAACATTATTTTGAAATAACAGTAATATGTAATACATAATGTATTACGCTTTTGAAGTAACTTGACCAACACTGATAGAGGGTAATAACCTCTTACAGATAACTGATTCATCTGTTAGTTTTATGTTATTATAAAAATCTGCTGGCCCTGCACAAAAGGCCTCCAGTTTATCAAGGCACAGCATTTGTTTTGGCATGCCAGCTAATATTTGACATAATTTCACAATGTGTGTACATCCAAATGGTCTGTTTGTAGGGATGACTGCAGTGATATTCACCTACCCATTGGATGTGGTTCGTGCCAGATTGGCCTTCCAGGTGACAGGAGAACACCGTTACTCTGGAATTCTAAACGCCTTTCAAACAATCTTTCTCAAGGTACAAGATTTAAATTTTTATTTAAAACCATTATGTTTCTTGTTCATACATTTAGCTAATATTTTGTACTTGCTAGACTATTAAGCACATCTTTATATAAACTGCATCAGCTGCATATGAAAATAAAGTAAAAGGGATTAGAAAGAGACATTTCAAAAAAAGTCTCAAATGTTAGGCAATGCACGCGAAGCGCCCCCTTCAGCATGGACATTTTTTATAAAATGCACAAAATGATGACTTCTGATGAATTCTTACATTGAAAAATAAATACCCAACATTCATTCATTCGTTCATTTTTTGCCCCTTTATTAGTCCAGGTCTGGGTCGGTGGGGTGACAAGTAGAGCTGCCACCCAATGCTCATGGCACCAGTACTAATTACCCAACAATATCTTAATAATTTTCCCAAAAATTGTTTTTTGTCGATGGTCCAGACATCATACAACCTGACAAAAACATGTTTTGTGACATAGTTGAATCAACAAATATTAGATTTTCTAGAAATCCATACAAGCAATTACTTCCATTAGTTTTTGATTCTGCATACATTTACACTGTTTACTAATGCTTTTATAATATGTTTTTGAGGTGTACATTCGGACTAAACATTGGCACTATACTCGGAACTGTGGCAATAGCAGCTCGCACACCTGTCTGCTCCTTCACTCATAGCCTCACTCACAACATGCTCTTGTCTCGCAGAGTATGAGCAGATGAACGCACGCATCCATCGCTATCGTTGATAAATTATATATATTAGGGCTGTCAAACGATTAAAATTTTTAATCGAGTTAATTAGTTAAAAAAATTATTAATCATAATTAATCGCATTTCGAAGTATCGGCAAAATTATGCCATATTTTTCTGTAAATGGTTGATAAATGATGACATAGTGTACATATGTACAGTATTTGTTTATTATAACAATAAATCTACATAAAATGGCATTAACATTATTAACATTCTGTCTTTCTGTAGTAGACACTTTTTTTTTGCTTGACATATCCCGCATCTGCTAAAGCCTCCTCTTTATTCTTTTTCTCTGTCTCATAAAGGCTCTGGATCCTCTTCACTTTTGTGCCTCTACAAACTATTGTTTGTAACAGGGATGAGAGACATATGAAAAAAGTCTGAAATGCATGTCAGCCAAGGGCTGTCATGGATGGATGGATGGATGGATGGATGGATTTGAGTTTTGGGCACAAACAACAGGAAATGGTAGTGCAAAGGAAAGTTAGGTTCCCCAGCTTTAATATAGCGTCTTTTTTCGCTTCGAGAGAAGACACGGGGGAGACAGACTGTTTCTTGCAGCGCTGTTTTTATTGTACTGATCACGCACAGGCATGACCAGTGCACACAGTGGTCTTGTGACAGCAAGACCACTCAAATACTGTGTCAATCCAGCCTTCAAGTGTCTGGGATTCAGCCATCTCTTAGTAATATTCGTTTTACTTGCCGCAAGGAGGATTTGTAGCAAATTTCTGTCACTACTTCTTTCCAGGAAGGTAACTTTACCCAAATACAAACACTCAAAGTTAAAAGGAATTACAATACCAAACACTGAACTCAGGCTTTTCTGAATTTCTCTCCAATACCCTTGTAATTTTGAGCAAGACCAAAATATGTGGAAATGATTTGCTGCAACTGTGCCCCACTGTCTCCTGCACGACAAGTCATTTGTGTGTTTGCACTGAACTGAAGTTTTTAAATATCTAATTATATTCTTTCAACAGTGCTCTCTCCAGGTAAGAGAGGCAGTTGATATCCACTGGAAAGCTAGCATGCTAGCCCATTCATCCTCTGATATCACCATTGCTGCCTCCCCTCCCCATTTCGGCTTTATATAGACACTCTTAAATCTGTCAAATGTAAATATGGCTTTGTAAATTCCCGAAATGTGGCATACACCCATATGCTGACTTTAGTATTTACAAAAAAACTCTTCTTCAGAGTGAGTAAAGTTAGCTGATTTACATTTAGAAGTTAAGCCGGACCCAGAGGTACCTAAAAAAAAATCTACATTGACCAGTAAGTGGTCAAACCTCTCTTTACACAAGATTTGAAAACGTAATAATTTTTGTTTGGATGGAAATCCTTGTTCCACACAACAGTTCCCGCTTTTTCGCTCAATTTCCTATTCCCAGTTACGGCCTGCAGAGAAAACTCTGCTGACATTCCGCAGTCTAGTTCCTTCCATTTTGCCTTGTATTCATCATTACACCAACATAAGAGAATTAGCTGAGACGCATAGTAGTAGTACCTAAAACATGGTAGGGCCATTCCTTCTTTGTCTTTACTCAATTGCATTGTGCAGTATCATACCTTTTTCCCTGCCAGATAAAACGTGATACCTGTTTATTCCGTCTTGGCCGTCTTGGCATTCATTAAGTATATAATTTTTTTCCAAAAAGTTTGTCTCAAGATTTATAGATGGGAATTACTCAATTCAATTCAATACAATTTATTCTTGTATAGCCCTAAATCACTACAGTAGTTATCTCAGAGGGCTTTACAGAACTGTTGAATTTGCAAATACAGATCAGAGAATCAAGCACAAGAATCGCAATGATAAAAAAGGTATAGAGCCATTGCTCCTTAAGGGGCAGATGACCAATATTTGTAGATGTTGATAAATGTCCCTAAAAGTTGTTGAGCGTCGAGTCTCCTGGATCATCACCAGTGTCCTTCAAATGTCCTTTAATTTGATTGGGAAATATGCCAGATGGAACTGATGAATTGAAAATATAGTTAATAGGTTTCTTACTTTTGTCATATCACTATTCAATTTTGAAATGATTTGAATGATCGTGCCTTCCTCAATCAGACAAAGGAACATTGAATTCAAGTTACACATCAGATTCTATGATGTGAAGGAATTATATTAATTTAATGCAGTAATCTGATTTTCTTTGAATTTGTACATATTTTATTCAAAGGGATATTTTTATCATACATCTTTTTTTAATATTATGAACTCATCTCTTCTCTTATCTTTTGTTGGGGCGGCAGTCTGACCTCGAGAGACTGTAACCGTCTCGACAGGCTGATCAGAAAATGTGTCTCTGTGCTGGAGAGAAGGATGAGGGCTCTAATGTAAGGCATCCTGGTTTACTCCAGACACCCTCTGCATGACACTATGGTCGCTCAGAGGAGTAATCGTAGCAACAGGCTTATATCACTGCGCTTCCGAACGGAACGTTTCAAGCGATCCTTTGTTCCTTTGGCTGTCAGACTGTTCAACAGACCTGGATGAGACTTCTGGTGCTGGACAACTGCATTTCTGTTCCAATTTTGCCCTAATATTTCTTTCTGTATTCCTGGTTCCTGGTTAGTCTTGCTATCAGGAACTGTGGGACAAATTTTCTCTTAATTATGGCTGAATATACAGGCACATTTTTACTGATGTCACAACATCTATGGACATTGATCATCTGCCCCTTATGGACCAATGGCTTTATGTGTTTTTATCATTACATTTATTGTGTTTGAATTGTTTGATTATCTGATCTTTGTTGGCAAATTCAACGGTTTTGTTAAGTTCTCCAAGATAAAAGTTGTGATTTAGGGCTATACAAGAATAAATTGAATTGAATTGGTTATGGTTATATGCTAGTGATTTTACGGTACAAATTCAAGCTGTAGGTGGTACTGAAGTTTTATGTTTTGTGCTTTTGAGAACATGAATTTGATGAGGATCAAAATATTTCATGCATTTCTAATTTGTAACCAAACAACAGCAACAGTACACAGACTGTACTCTTATATGGCACAATCCATCCATCCATCCATTTTCTACCCTTTAATCCATTTCTGGGTCAGGGGGGTGGCAGTCAGAGATGCCACCCAAGTCTCATAGCACCAGCCCCTCACTGACCCTCTGCAGGTGGTGAGTCCACAGGAGGATGGCTGCTCTCTGAGTGTGAGCATAGCCTTGATCTTTCAGTGGGGGCTTTGGGCAAAGTGGGGTTAAGTGTCTTGCCCAAGGACACAACGACAGCAGTCATCAGTGGGAGTCGGTGGAGAAGGTGCAGAGGTGGGAATTGAACCCACGACCTTCTGGGATTAAGGCCAATGCTCTACCACTACTACCATATGGCACAAATCTTAGTTAAACTGCATTTTTTTATTTCATGTACAGTATTTATACATTTTATTTTGCCTTTATTTAACCCTTGAGATAAAATTTCTTTTATGAGGGAGACCTGGCCAAGAACACCTTGGTAACAAATAATATACATACACTAGCACAAACAACGACATTATGAAAATACATCAAATTGGTTATAATAGGTATATAGTGTCCATAGCCATGGCATCATCTTGGGAATAAGATGTTGACTAATGTGGGTTGGACCTCAGTGAAGGCCTAAGCGTGAAAGGAATGGCTCTATAAATGCATACATTGGCTGCATTGATATGTCCGCCATAGGGTCCACAAAATTATAAAAAGTAGCAGCATTAAGTCTGGCAATTACTGTACACATTACAAAGTAACTATTGATTTCATACTTGATCAATCTTTTTTTAATCTATTCAAGTACAGAATTTTAACATAAATGTGTTTACCTTTTTCAACTTAAAGGAAGGAGGCATATTGGGTTTCTACAGAGGTCTAACACCAACGCTAATTGGAATGGCTCCTTACTCAGGTTTTTGTTGTCTTTGTTTTTCTTATTGTCAACACCCATTACATACCATTTACCTCATTCTGAAACTCAAAAAATCTAAATATTGTTTACAAGTTCATTTACTTCTATATTACAATCTAATATAATATATTCGTTTCACATTTTAACTGATTTCCTGCAGTGACAATGCCAAGCCTTTTTTGTTGTAATGTAAATTATTCTTCAGTTAAGTAATCTTTATAAATATTGCTTCTAATTTTATGACATTTCTTTTATTTTTACAAGCTGAGGGCCAATGATCAACATTATAAAAATTAGAGGCTTGATATATCTCACTTTGCCTGTAATCACTCAAATTAGTTACACTTTGTGTTGAATCACAGAAGTTATTGGACTTTTGAACAATATTCTAATTTTCAGAGTTTCACCTGTAGAGTTTCTGTCTGTAGGTTTCTCCTTCTTCACATTTGGGACCCTGAAGAGTTTGGGACTGAAACACTTCCCAGACAGATTCGGAACCCCATCTTCAGACAACCCAAACGTCATGGTTCTCAGGGCTCACGTCAACATGGTGTGTGGAGGAATGGCCGGGGCAATTGCTCAAACCATATCGTAAGTTTTTTATTTGTGGGATTTGACCAGCAATTGTTCTTGAGAGCTCTGATTTATGACAGGTTGATGTTTGTTATTTGTTCAGATGTCTATTTAGCATTATATGATATGTCTTGACAGATATCCGCTCGATGTGGCCAGAAGGAGAATGCAGTTAGGGGCAGTGCTTCCAGACTCTGATAAGTGTGTGTAAGTATATGTCTTAGGGGACATGGTTGAACCTATAAAGTCTATATTTCAGGGATTTTAGATATTGAGATGAGCTGCATATTCATACTCTTTGCAAATCTACATTTTATTGGTTCCTTTCCTCTTATTTTGCAGAAGTCTTGGCAGGACACTGAAATACGTGTACACAACATATGGAATCAAAAAAGGACTTTACAGAGGCCTTTCTCTTAACTACATCCGCTGTGTGCCCTCTCAAGCTGTGGCTTTTACTGTCTATGAGTTCATGAAGCAGGTCCTCCACCTAAACTAGACGTCAAATATATAGACTGCATTATGTATCGTTGCGAGAGATTAGTCTGGCAGATTTGTCTTCCACCAATTGTAAATACAATATTATTTTCTTCACAGCACAACCTAGCATCATAGGTGTTGCAGCAACACAGGTGAGAGGTTCGAAGCATTAGTTTAGCCCTTGGCCTTTATTTTAGTAAGTCATTTTCTCACAAAGGATTTTTTTTTTCTTTCTTTTCACTAACAAATATGTATATACGTCACATCACACTGCTGTTTATCAGTTTGCATTGTAATAGTAAAATTTAGGTTTAATTAGCTTAAGGTTAAAGCACATTTAGTGAACTACTGCTTTAAGTATAGACTTAAATTGTTTAGCCTTACTGTGTTTGCAATGCAAAATTGCACTTCCAAATAATTTTTATCTATTAGTGTTTATAACACTTTCTGGTACTAGGTGGCGGTATATGATTGGAGCATAACTTTGTCTCTCAGTATTTATCCAGTCATACAGTAGGTGCATTTATTGTGATCACTTTCAATTCTGCAGCGGTTTTAAGACCACATCATTTCAGATGCCATTGTTTAGTTGTCTTGCCTTCTTCTATGACAGATTCATGTCTACTTTTTATTTTATTCTAATTCACAAGAAAGTAAGAAGACTTGTAATGACAAGTATTGACTATGTGCATACAGTATGTGTTTATAGAAATAATGTTCAAACAATTTCATGTAATTGCTGTTATTATGAATGCAACAATTCTGCCTTTTTATTTGTATAAGTTCCACTCAATGCACTCTGCTTCATACTTTAACATTTCCTAAAAGGTATATAGGAGGATTTTCTATTTCCAGGTGGATTATCAAGACTCTTGTTCCTCCCAGTTGTCAATCAAATAAGACCAGAGTTGTTCAAAAAGTGGAGAGGGTGGTTCTTTCTTAAAATTTGGGAAAATATTCTTACATACGTGCTATGTGTGCTCTGAGCTTTATGGTTTATTGAGAATTATACTGTAGGATTATAATTACTGAGTGGATAGCACTCTTGCCTCTCAGCAAGAAGGTTCTGGGTTCTAATCCCGGTTGGACCAGGGCCTTTCTGAGTGGAGTTTGTTCTCCCTGGCATGCACCTCCTGTACTGGTGACCCCGCTCCCATCTCTGTGTGGAGTGAGAGGACAAATGCCCAAAAAAAAAGAAAAATTGTAAACCGCTTTGTGACTCTGGTCTGTGAAAGGCAAATCAAGATTAAAATTAAAATTGTATATCTTTGTTTGAAGCCTGAAATGTTGAAAGGTTCAAGAAAGGTGCACTATGTATATGTGTGTGTATATATAAACGCTGGAAGGAAATAAATAACTGATATATTTTGGCTAGTCTGCGTGCAAGGGACAGCGCCCCATACCATCGTCTAGACCAGTCCAGTTGCACTTGACAGCGGCGCCCCAAACAGTTAATAGCGCCTCCCCTGCTTTGACAGGGCGCCATCGCATTTGTATTATTATTTATTGATTTATTTGTTATTACTGAAAGTTGACAGTGAGAGCAAAGACAGTTGTAGCATCAACAAGAACTGAACATTAGTGAGCTTAAAAATATACACGTATGCATATACAGTAAGTATTCGGCCCCCTTGACCCTTTCGCCACATTTCAGGCCTCAAACATAAAGATATAAAACATTTTGTCAT